TCTCTGGAGATGCTTGGCTGTAAAGGGAATTCCAAGAAAATATATTGCACTGATTAAGGCACTCTATTCGTACTCATACAGCCAGGTGAGGGCTTACGGCGAGCTGTCATCTGAACTGATGACGACCAGTGGTGTCCGTCAAGGATGCCCATTATCTCCTTTTCTATTCAACTTCATCATAGATGTGTTAATGGACTTAACCCTAGGTGACTTCAGCGACTCAGGGATTGACTTGCTACCGGGGAATAATCTCGTTGACTTGGAATATGCAGACGATATAGTCCTTCTAGGCGAAGACGCTGACGAAATGCAGAGTCTTCTAAACACCTTGAGCCGCAATCTACGAATGTTTGGCATGCGATTCGCTCCCGCCAAATGCAAGATGATGTTACAGGACTGGACTACATCGACGCCTAGTTTAAAAATAGGAAGTGAAGTGGTAGAGCACGTTGACCGCTTCACTTATTTGGGAAGTACCATCAGCCCCAACGGGCTGATCTCTGACGAAATCTCAGCACGAATACAAGGGGCTCGTTTCGCATTTGTTAGTTTACGCCGACTCTGGCGTAGACGAGATGTTCGACTATCGACCAAAGGGCGGGTGTACTGCTCATCAGTCCGCTCCGTCCTCCTTTATGGTTGTGAGACCTGGCCACTGAGAGTGGAAGACATGAAAAGACTAGCTGTCTTTGATCATAGGTGCCTGCGTTCTATTTCCCGTGTAAAGTGGCATAATAAGGTGAGCAACATGGAGGTTAGGCGTAGAGTTCTAGGTAAACAGGGGAAATCAATCGACGAAGTCGTGAAGCTACAAAGACTGAGATGGTTAGGACATGTGTTACGTATGCCAAGCCATCGCCTCCCTCGACGAGCTATGTTAGCGGATATAGGGTCAGGCTGGAAAAAAGCTAGCGGCGGTCAAACAAAAACTTGGCATCAGTCAATGAAATCCACAACAGTTGGTCTAAGCCACGTAGAAAGGTGTAGACTTCCAGGCTGGGGTCCTCGGGACGGTAAAAATCTATGGTTGGAAACAATTGGTGACATGGCTCAAAATCGTTCTCAGTGGCGCAGATGCATCCACTCCCTGTGACTTATGATCTTCAATGAAACTGTTTTGTATTTCTTTATTACTCCTTTGTCTCACACCTCTGCTCACTGTTTCTATTATGCTTTTCTTGTACTTTCTTCTCTTGCTTCGCGTGCTACACGGAATGTGGCGACTTGAACTTCCGCACATTTGTGCAAAGTTCTATGTCGAAAACAGACAGACAGACAGACAGTAGCACTGACTTCACATTGAAGTTGAAAATCCGGATCTTATTTTTGATGCTGAGTGCTGTTGACCTCCACACAGACTTAAGAGTAATGAAAGCTTGTCTTGCCTACCCGATCCTCGCTGCTTTGATATCCTCGTCAGTTCCGCCTGTAGTTGAAACGATGCTTCCCAGGTAGGCAGGCGAAAGAGGTTGTTTCTTCCAGGTTCCTCCCATTTATGCTGGCTGATTGTTGTCTGTTGTTTTTGTTGTTGGCCAGGAATCTTCATCACCTCTGTTTTCTCTATGTTCACTTGAAGTCCTGTCTTTGATGCTTCTGCTGCCAACTTGTTGCTTTTTACTTGCATATCTTCCAGTTTGCGGGAAAACAGACATTCCCTTATAAATTGAAACCTTATATTAATGAACATTTATAAACCTGCCAAAAGACTGAATTCAATAAATACCGTCAGGTTATGAGGTGATCGTGTTGACATCCAGTAAATGAACTCATAGCCAGTAACAACTTCCGCTGATCAGTGATGTATCATCACTATTATTGAATAAAATCAATCAGTACGTCTCCTCACATCTGACTCTCTGAAGACGACCAATCGAAGGCGAAACACGCGTTCAATACTCCTTTGTCTACAATAACAACAACAACAACGACAACCATATTTATAAACTGAAAGCTACTCATTTCTAAAAAGTAGTGTTTATTGGACTGATTCAGACGTGGATTTATTAATTCCAAGCCAACATCCCACAACTTTTGGGGATAAAATCGATTGGATAACTGATTCAGTCCACTTCCGAACCTTTCAGAGGCACTACAACCCGGAACATGAAACCACCAAAAGTTAAATCTAGCACATTACAGCTTGTTGACTGGGTGAGAATTCAAAAACTGACGATTTCCAATCCTCTTCCTATTCATCAAATCGTCCATTGAAGTAAAACAGCATCGGTGAGTAATTATTATGATTGAACACTAATTAATATGTGGGGTAATATGTCTAGTCTTTTGCTGGCTGCAGACTGAACAGATCAAATCCCTACAAACCAACACTTGAATATCAATGAGACGCTCACTAGCGACTGACGCTATTCAGGTAGGTAGTTACCTGGGCTTCTAGTGAGAAGTAATGACCAGTAGGGTGGAGTAGGTCGGGTGTCAGGACAAATACTCCCCAAAGACATTGGCTGGGGTCGCGCTATGTCGTGAATTGGCACAAGTTAAAATTCTTACGCCATTCGATCAGGTCCCAGTGTCTTAATGATATACGAGCTCGCCTTGTAACCAGAAGGTCCTGGGTTGCAATCCTAGCGGTGGATGCGTACTCCTCAAGAGTCCCAAACTAGGACGAAACAGCTGTCCAGTACTCCCAGGTTTTCCAATGGTTCTCTAACTAATGTCAGCTCATGATGAAAATCCTGTAACCAGTCATATCCCTACAAGGCAACACTTGAATTCTATCAGTCGAGTCTGTAATATGGCCACAATTCTAGACGGCTTGAGTCCAAGCTTTTTGGTATTCTGACGATTATTGACACACCTTGTCTTGGTTTGACGACCCGTAAATCTTTTCCACCCTAATCGTAAATCAGCTAACACTGTTAGACGAAGGAAGCAAGGAGGATGGCTCGCTATCTCGATGTACTTCCACAATCTCATCGATCAAATTTCTTTCCTTACACTTAAAACTCTACGCCCAAATTCATTACTGCTGACTACAGTATATCCCTAACACGAGAAACTGAATGTAAACACTCCACTTCTCCTACACTTTCAACGGTCATGTAGCACAGCTGTAAAAAAAAGGACGGAGTGAAGTGTTGCGCAGTAAAAGTTCTTTTGATGGAGAACCGGATGGATATCACACATGCGCTATAGATGACGTAGGCTGGCACACAAACACTTATCTCAGCTGATAAAACCTGTCTGGATCACTGAGATATACAAGTCTAACCACCAGATAGAGGTAGCAGCTGCAAGTTGGGAGATAGATAGCCAGTAGATTTCGAAGTATACTCCGTCAAATTTACCTACCTTATTATGTCTACTAATCAATCACCATTGAAGCGAATATATATCAGCATGTTCATTTGGTTATTTGCCCATATTCACGCTTAATTCGATAATTATACTCTTGTCTTTATATTCACTTTCGTATATGGAATTCGCACAAATGAAACTTGTTTTCGCACTGAAAGGAAGGACACTTTCGGGTAAAATCACACTTCACTGAAACACGTACTTTACTCTTTAGAAAAAATGGAGATTTACACTAGCAATTTACTTTTGTCTATACATACATACGAATGGTGGGAGTGTTTAGGCGGTTAGTACACTTCCCAGATGTCCACACCATGGAAGTTGGTCGCTTTCTGAAACAGAACCAACTTTAACTTTACGTGACCAAAGGGCCCCAGGAGACTAATGGTTTAGGCCTGTTACATACAGCCTGTTTGAATTAGTTTTTGGAATTGCATCCGTCAGCTATGGACCGCCGTAGGGTAATTCAGGATGTACTATTTTCAGGGTCAACTTATCTTGTCTCACTCCTTTATGCAGGGCGGAGAAGCATTACATCTGGCTACCCGAAGAAGAGGGGATACTTTACTGCTATTGCAGCCCTGTTTGCCAGCAGTACGACTTCGTACACAGAACCCAAAACATAGTGGGACTCCCCACACCACCTACAAATATGTGGGAGGACTAATTAGTATCATTAGCTCTCAAACAACAAATGCTAGAATTGACTTAAGCAAAACAGATTTTTAATGCGGTAGGCTACCTAGTCGTCATCTAGGCAAAAGCGACCAGACAGAGATTTGACCTCGAAATCTATTGCCTGGGAGCCGAATGGGCAGTAAATCACACTTACTAGAGTAATAGTTATACTAGAACTAAGCTTCAGTGAACTAGTGTGGATAACACTTTGTGTGCCAGTGGTTCCATGGCAGATTATGCTAACCGATGAACCATACACGTTGTCCAAGTTCGATTTCCGGAGAACACACTTCCAAACCACGCCTAGCCGATAGTAAACCCAGAAAACAGGAAAGATCGAGCTTGGAGCTAGCGACACCACTGCTACTGAAGCTTCATGACTCAAGACTACCATAAAGCCCTATCCACCATCCGGGATGCAGCGTTGATGAAAAGAGAAACCACACTTCAAACTCTATTGACAGAATTCAGTAACACACTAACACACTAGAGGGCTAACTAACTGACTAGTTAGTTTCAACATAGAACTCTGCACAGATGTGTTGCAGTTCAACTTGCTGCACTTCACACTATAGGGCTAAGCACAGGACACTGTGATTACCCAATCAATGAATCGATTACAGTCTTCTATGAGACCAGATGGGGGGTGGGGCTTAAATAGTTCGACCTTTTGTTTTTTATTCCTTTACATCTCAAGTGTAACCAATAGAGGGAATCACAAGCTTTAGTTTTGAAGTTTCAGTTGAGATATTATTTTTTGTGGGCCCAACACCATCCCCTTTTATTACAGGAGCTTTTTATCGACTGTTAAACAAGGCTTAGCAGCGTGCACGTCCAAGGAATCAAACCTGGACGACCACTGATGTACAAAAAATAGCTCAGTGATGACGACACCTCTCTGAATGCAATGCAGCACTGAATGATGGTGATGGTGGGTAGGGGGGGCGGTATCAGTATCCCCAAGATTGTAGGCTATCAACAAAAGCGCGAGACCCCACGCGGTCTAACGGGTCTCCTTACAATTACCATCAACCATCTAGAAACCATACTACTACGCACACATGCACACACACCCACGCATAAAACGTATTTGTGTTAGTCATATTATATATTTAGTAGTAATCATAACCAAGATGTAGAAATTGTGTGTGAATAAACATCAATATGTGTATATTAGGGATAAGAAAGACCAAACAAAGGGAGAAACAGAAAGGAATATTATAAAAAAAGACAGGAAACGTACAGAGGAACCTCTAAACGAACATAAAACTTGAAAAAGACAGACAAAAGATGAGCACATGAGGTCAATATGTGTGTGTGTGTGTGAGCAAAAAAGAAAGTGAGGGAGAGGGAGAGATATACAAACATGTGATCACATATTATTTCACAAAAGGAAACCAGTAAGGGGATGATTATGAGAGAATGGAATTATTATTGGGGAAGGTAAATATCAACCCTATGTGCATCCCCGGTCACACAGACACTTACACACACACACACACACAGAATATGAAGACAAGGGATTTGGACACAATAAACAATTACATAATCATCACAGTGAGTGAGCAAGTGAGTGTGTGAGTGCGAGGGACACAGAATAGGGACTCAACAAGGCAGAATAGTTTTAAACAAACAGACAAGTTATACGTACAACTGGAGGCGAGAAACAAGGGTTGCTAAAGGCAGAATAATAAAAAGAAAATGCTTTTTATTCACTCACTCACTCACACTCAGTCAGTCAGTCAGTCATCTGTGAGCGATCAATGGGAATTAAGAGGAAATATGTGGGGAAAAAAGGAGGAATAAGTGTATAAAAAATGAATTATCGCTGACATATCGGTACCTACCACCACATAACAACTACCAACCTAACCGGTACACCACACACACACACACACACGCAGACTCCAGAGACTGAACAAAGGTGATAACGGTCGTGAGAGACAGAGAGAGAGAGAGAGAAAGATGGAGAGATATAGGAAACCAGGAAAGTAGTTGGCTGAGGCATGACAGGGGTGGTGGGAGGCAGATTATAATTTTATTATTTATTTTTTATTATTTTTGATTGACAGCTTGATTCCACACTGTATATTTTGATTCAAGTATGGAATTTTCAGTATGGATATAGCACGGTAGCCCAAATTTTTGCATGCCGACCATAGATATCAGAGGTGTGCGTCGGCAGGGGATTGAACCGCAGACCATATGTGCATGGTCGCGCATGGACGCGCACAAGAACGCAGTGATTTTTTCTGATTTCTGAAGTGAAGGAATTTTTAATTTTAATACAAATGGAGATGTGTGATGATGGTGGACAACGCTGACGAGGAGAGAAAGAAAGAGAGAGAGACAGGAGAACAATGAAGCATGATGCTTTTTATCTGCTGGTGTTATTGTACACACAAAATTTAAGATTGCCTAGGACGTTTACGTGCCCAACATCTTAAAGGGAGTTGTTGTGAGGCAAGACTACGAAAGCACTCATTCAACAGACGTGGACGATGTCGTACCAATTGTTCATAGCCTTCAGTTTCACAGACATCATGAGCATGTCTAAAATTATAAAAGGTAAATAAATATAAATGATTCACAACATATGATAAATACATGCATCAATGAAATACAATAGACAGTAAATATATAATGCACACAGTAAAGGATGACATATCAAATACTTTTAGATTTGTTTTAGCGATTTCTAGTAGAAAATTTCCATCTGACACTTTTGATATGTATCCACATGTGTGTTTTGTTTTTGACAGTCTGTTATATTTTGCTATGTGCATACGGATCGATATTCCATTATAACTGATATTATACTTTTGTCTGTCCACTAACTGAATGAACAATGTATGACCTTATTATCACATGACATTACAACCAATCATGGTAAGATGTTATCTTATTGGCTCATGTGTATTAGCCATTTTCATATATACTCTTGCTTTATTATTCTTGTTGACTTTTGTTACCACGTTTCGTACATCTAAGTACCCTTCCACTCACACACTTGTGTGACATTTATTTTCCTTGTCTGGAAAATACAAGTATCATCGTAAACTTGGTGGTCTTCTGATTTCTTTCTTTCCGCGTCAGGACTATTAACTACTCGACGAGTACATAACATAATTGGCGACGGGGAAAACTCTGATAACTCACTCAGAAGCAGTACATAGCAATTTTACATTGGGAAAAAGTTAAGCGACTCGGGTGTAACTTAAACAACCCCTCCTCCTCCTCCTCCTCTTACAGTTTATCAACTCTTGCATCTTACCTATTCTTCTTTATTCTTCACCCTTACTTATTCTTTCCTGAGTTGCTTGAAAAAAGATTATGTCACACTTCGTAGAACTGTGAAAACAATCAGTCAGTAGGGCGAGAGGCGACATCCCCATTGGAGCATATTGTTGACATCGTCATTGGATAAGCACTTAATTATTTTATACAATAAATTTGCTAAAGGAATTTTTTCAAACTGTGAGCGACAATTATATACGCACATCTTTCACATCTTGCATCTCCCCTCCTCAGATAGAACAAGAAGTCATTTCATCAAAAGAATTTACGCCCTCACACATCTAAGTAGGCAAATTCCATGATACCATATTTAGCCCCTGTAGTTTATGTGATGAAAATGGTGTTAGACACGAATTAACCAACTGACTAAATAACCAACCCTGTTTCCACTAGTAAATAAACAATTCCCCCCACCCCCACCCTTATGCCATAGAGTGTTTCTGTTATTATTCCCCTTACATTTATAGTCCTCTCATTTTCTTTCGTTCATTTTCTCTTATAATTGTAAACACTATTTAAGCTCTGTAATAACTGTTATCTTTTGTTTTTCCCTTCACTATGCTATGCCAAAAGAACATTAGATTCAATATTCTCTGTTGTAACATGCTAAGATTCCCATAGTGTATTGACAATATTGTTTGAAACAAACCTATTGGCTGTTATTATTCTCATTTTATACTTTGCACATTTTTGTAGCTTCACTATCCAACCAATTCACCTATCCTCTTTACGTAACACTCTACGCATAACCTTAATACCCGTCTCTCCACTATACTATACCACCAGTCAACCCGGAAAATAGAGCACGGACATCTATGGTCAAAGACAGATAGCCTTATTCATAGCCTCAATCAACTTACAAAGACTATGTCTCACGACCAAAAATAAAAGACACAGAGAACTTCTGCACAGTCCATTGATTAATAGCCGGATATCATGCTTACACCATAGATGGATGATATGAATTGGCAGATACTACACACAGAGGCTTTTGTACACGAGCCATGATTTTGTCAGCAATCGCTTGATTTAGGGCCGATTTTACTTCGCAGCTACATGAAGTGGTGGTCAACACGTTTAACCGGCTTAACATCTGAAAGGACTGAATCACACACCGTGAGATCACACATACTGAGATTTCTGACCAAGGTGTACAAAAAAGCCCTGAACTCTGTCAATATCCCCAAATAAAATGACTATATCATCTACATTTTTTAAATCGACGAAAGCGTCCCATGGCTACAAGTTAATTCTAAAGTCGTTAAAGACGATTAGAATCACTTTCATTAGTACATATATGTGTACAGGCTAAAAATTGTTCTTAGCATCGCTTAAAATCCTTGTCAACAGAGCAAAGAGCCATTCACCATTCTGATCACTCACATTCATTGCAGAACAATGCCATATCTGACTGAGGACGCTTCCTGGAATAAGGCTAAGAGCCAGGAAAAAAAAACGAAGACAGAAATACCGGAATGAAACTAGGAACGGAGTACTACTCAAATCAGCATATTCATTTCCCTGTTGTTAACAGTGACTCGCGTCTTTTATACAAAGGCTACTGATTTTATCTAGTTGCGCATAAAGTTGCCAGATGGAGCGTGAGTCGGATTTGAACCAATCAATCTCATCCAGTATGGTCGTCAATCGACCCTCTCCAGACTGTAATGAGTCACAACAGGATTATAAAAAAACTTGGATGAAGAAATGTTGTAAGGGTTTTGATGAACTATCATAATACAAGCCTAATATCATCATATGAAAGACATAAAACAAGTGACTTACAGCATTATAAACTCAAGTGTATGAGCTTTCAACTGTTCAGCATTGTGCATATCAGAAAGTCCAAATATATCACAAGCATTCTCAACTGAAAGACTTTCTACAAGTGCTTCTTCACACATTGTCTTCAGCCGTTCCAACTGATACTACAAAGAGAATAGAGAAAAAGGAATCATCATTAAATGACACAGCGGTGACAGGTAGTAATGACAATAGTCGAGTTATGAAAAGGCACTTATAAATGTAGAAAAATTGAAGAGAAACCTGTTGATATTGGATAATGTGAGCCAGCTGATAATAATAATAATAATAATAATAATAATAATAATGGAATGTATCTTAGAAGAACTGTATATAATGATTTAGTCAATTCGAACCAGTAAGCTTTTAGTTAACAGCTGATCGTCAAGGTGATCGTATGTTTTCCCCAAGCCTTGATTACATTCTGTTTGCATGAATGTCAGTTTTGAATGGACGCTGACTAGTGTTATGCACTCAGTCTTTTTGATTTCGATTATAGCTTGAGTCCACACCGTATTTTTGATACAGATATGGAATTTTCAGCATGTGATAGCGGTAGCCAAAATTTTGCAGGTCAACCATTGATATCAGGTGTGCGTCGTCAGGGGATCCAACCCCGGATCATGTGCATGGTCGGTCAGAGTGCTAACCGCTGTGCCACCGACGCACAGACCAAATTCTACCACTCAAGTTGGCAACACGGTCACCATTCTAGGTATCCTCCATTACGCATGACACTATTTAGAATCAAGGTGCTTAATACAGTCCAATAGTTTAATCACACCAGCCCAAATAGCTCAGTGATAGCGTCTCTGACTGCACTACTGGGCGACATGGGTTTGAATCTCAGAATGTACATGAGTTCCCTAAAGATTGTAGATCCACCTTACTGACTGGTGAGTGACAACAACCCACGTCTAAAGCTTCCTTACGATTACCTCCAACTATCCAATATCAAAGTTTACCAACTGGTTAGCAGTGAATGACCTGGTAAGGCCAAACACATAGGAAGTCTTCTCTGGTCTTCTCCTAACAAAATAATCTCACGTGGCCACACGTGTATAACTTCTGCAAGGCACGCCTCTTTCAAATTTCTTCACGCACAGCGGCGTCCTTAAATAGGAGGAAGACCGAATGTGAATGATATTCAGCATCGAATTTGTGAGGGTTCACTAATCTAAGGGGCTGGTAAATCCTGACGCCAAACCTATTGCGGCCACAGGCAACGAAAATGGCGCATAAACTTGTTTTGGAAACAGGCAACCACATGAGCACAGCTCCTGACGTTAATATATACGTAAAACTTGGGCACTGTGGTACTAATTAATTCCATATTAGTTTGTTTATTAGATATATCACCACACAGTGAAGTGACAGTATTATTTACTGGATGAGGTTTCGAATAAAATTTATTATTCATAATCATATCAATTGTAATCACACGACTTTGAAACTTGAGTTTTATAGTTTTCTTTGTCTTCTCCTATTTGTCATCGTTGGGGCAGTAGAATTTTCCAGATATCTGGGTGGACAGGTGTTGAATCATTCACGCTGAAAACTCCATACCTGTACTACATGTATTTGCAGCAGTTGATTCGATAAACAAAGCTTCTGTTATCAATCTCCTCCTCCACCCTGTGACATTAGATTTTAAAACTGTCATCCTATCATATCCTATTGTATATGGTTGTGTGTCACTGCATGTAGGGCTATAACTGAACTGTTCTCCAGATTTCTTATCTTATTTGGGTCAACCAATGTAGATTTTGCTAGGTTTATATGTTCGGCTAGTCTGACTGCCCCTGTTCTACTAGTTTGGCCTATGTATTTGACCTGACAATCATCGCAGACAGGGTAAAATCGTTTTGTTTTAAAGGCTCCACAAGATTGATCCTTTAACCAACAAAGCTTGTTTCTAATTGAATTTGCGGGTTTGATATATATCCATATAATATGTGCGTTTGTTTGACAGTCTGATACTACTACTACTACTACTTAGTTGTTTTGTCCTAATAATTAAATATTTCACCCATCCTATTTTCACTGACATAGGATGGGATGATCGAAAATCGAAATATCTGTTTAAATGTGTGGGTTTCCTGACAACACTAGAGTTTAACTTCCCATCTTCTTTCCTTTTTAAGTTGCAATCTAACATTGATAGCAGATATATTCATGGAAAGGTGCGAAAACATGGCTATTGAAACGTTCACCTCCACCCCAAAAGTGTGGTGGAGGTATGCAGATGTCACATTCACTGTACTTATAACACAAGATATATATAAATTTTTCAAACACATCAACTCGAAGGTAGAGGCAATTCAATTCACTTATGAATTGGAAAGTCAGGAAGGGGACTGGTGAAATGTTCAAGTGAGAGAGCCCAAAAACTAAGTAATAACAAGGAAAATCTAAGACAGGAAGTGATACACATAAAAGAAGTCCTGGAACTTAATAATTACCCGGATAAATTAGTCAAGAAATATGCAAAAAAATGTGAAAAGAAAATAAATAATCATAATAGCCATAGTGATGATGATACTACTACTACTACTAATAATAATAATAATAATAATAATAATAATAATAATAATGGTAATAATAACAGTGATAATAATAATATTAATGACGACACCAATAATAAGGAATCTAAATCATCAGTAGTAATTCCATACAAGGAAGGAACCTCGGAAACCCCACGCAGAATTATTAACAATGCAAGAATAAAAGTGGCTGGCATTCAAACCCTGTTATGTACTGGTCGAGAAATTAATAGTCCTGACGCAAGAAGACGGAAATCAGAAGACCACTAGGTTTGCGATGATACTTCTATTTTCCAAACACAGGGGGAATCAAAATCACACAAGAGTGTGAGAGCAAAAATATATGAATGTCCGAACTAGTGTGTGAGCGAATATTCAAAATGAACAAATTAATAGACAGTCTTAACATGATTGGCTAATTATAATGAAATATCGATCCATATATACATAGCAAAATATATCAGACTGTCAAACAAACGCACATATTATATGGATATATAGCAAACCCGCAAATTCAATTAGAAACAAGCTTTGTTGGTTAAAGGATCAATCTTGTGGAGCCTTTAAAACAAAACGATTTTACCCTGTCTGCGATGATTGTCAGGTCAAATACATAGGCCAAACTAGTAGAACAGGGGCAGTCAGACTAGCCGAACATATAAACCTAGCAAAATCTACATTGGTTGACCCAAATAAGATAAGAAATCTGGAGAACAGTTCAGTTATAGCCCTACATGCAGTGACACACAACCATATACAATAGGATATGATAGGATGACAGTTTTAAAATCTAATGTCACAGGGTGGAGGAGGAGATTGATAACAGAAGCTTTGTTTATCGAATCAACTGCTGCAAATACACGTAGTACAGGTATGGAATTTTCAGCGTGAATGATTCAACACCTGTCCACCCAGATATCTGGAAAATTCTACTGCCCCAACGATGACAAATAGGAGAAGACAAAGAAAACTATAAAACTCAAGTTTCAAAGTTGTGTGATTACAATTGATATGATTATGAACAATAAATTTCATTCGAAACCTCATCCAGTAAATAATACTGTCACTTCACTGTGTGGTGATATATCTAATAAACAAACTAATATGGAATTAGCTCCTGACGTTGTTCTGCCGCCACCTGCACACGACTGTCGATTGTGTTACTCGCATCATTCTAACTCTTTCTTTGTCTCTGTCTCTCTGCCTCTCACCATGAGCTTCTACTTGATATGTACCAATATAGTATGTGGCCATCTGAGTCATTAAAGAGTAATGCTAAATCATACGTTATAGCATGTGTGAAAGAAAATAAGAATCTCACTGAACAACCAGTTGGGATTCCGTGCATAAATGACGATGAGACACACACACACACACATGCATCAACTGTGTGAGAGCCGCCAGTGTGTTACTAACCTGAATAACGCCCAAACCTCGATAGATGGGGCGAGTTTTGAACCAGTGACCCACCTCCACCAATTGAAAGTCAGTCAGTCAAGAGCCTAGACCGGCCAATGAGCCGCAACTCCTTTAAGAGGGTGCTAGCTTGGGTGGAAGAATCGAATCCACACCATTCCCGTGGATAGCGAGCATTCTAACATCGAACGACAGGACGTATGTTCGCCAATACACATAGTCTGTATAGTACAAAACTACATGAGATACACTTACAAGTTCAATCATCAGCTAGGAAATTTGTACAAAATTGTATCAGTTCAAGTTATCAATGCTTCATAAAAGTATATACTTAAAAAACAGACAAAGGAAATGTAATGAGACTGAAACTACAACAGACGAAAACGTATAGGAGACAGAATCATTCGATGAACACTTATGAGAGGATCTTTGATGATAAAGGTATCCTTGGATCTCAAATATGACAAACACTTTGATGTCACATCACCAACAATCTCCTACTATTGATTCCTTGAAAGATCTGTCTGCCTGGATTCAACATAGAACTTCGTACCGAAGTGCACCAGTTCGAGTTGCCACCTTCCAAATAGCACACAAAGGTAGACACGAAGATGAGTGAAGACAATCAATAGAGTTTGACAAGTATAAGAGTGAAACAGAATGGGTAATGGTAGAAAGGAATATGAAAGATTACAGAGACTGAATACATCTGCGTCATTGACAACAATTTTGAGCCATGTCACCTATTGTCTCTAGCCATTGATTCCTAGAGTCAGTCTCGAGGGCCCCAACCCAGAAGTCTGCATCTCCCTACCTGACTCAGTTTAACTGTCAAGGATTTCATGGATTGATGAGGCCATGTTTTGTATTTGGTCACCACTCACTCTTTTCCAACCTGCACCTATATCAGCTAGTAATGCCCGTCGTCGGGGGAGGCGGTGGTTAGGCATGCGCAGCACGTGACCTAGCCATCTTAGTCTATGTAACTTTATAGCCTCGTCGATTGATTTTCCCTCTTTCCCCAACACTACGCCTAACGTCAACATTACTTACCTTATTATACCACCTAACGTGAGACAGAGATCGCAGACATCTATGATCGAAAGCAGTCAACCTTTTCATGTCTTCAACGCGTATTGGCCATGTTTCAGAGCCATAGAGAAGGACGGAGCGGTACACATGTCCCTTGGTTGATAGCAGGATGTCACACCTACGCCAGAGATGGTGTAAGTCAACGAAAGCAGCTCGAGCTTTTCGGATCCGTGCTAAGATTTCGTCGCCAATCAGTCCGTTGGTGCTGATACAACTTCCCAAATACGTGAAGTGGTCAACATGTTCTATCACTTCACTTCCTATCACTAAGCTAGGAGTTGACGTAGTCCAGTCCTGTAGCAGCATCTTACATTTTACAGGGGCGAATCGCATGCCAAACATACGAAGATTGCTGCTCAAAGTGTTCAGAAGACTCTGCATTTTGTCAGCATCCTCCCCTAACAGGACTATGTCATCTGCATATTCCAAGTCCATAAGACTATTCCCTGGTAACAAGCCGATTCCTTAGTCATTACGTTCAGTTAAGGATATTTCCATTAGCATATCTATGATGAAGTTAAACAGAAATGGGAAAAGTGGACATCCCTGTCGGACACCACTGGTTGTTATCAATTCAGATGACAATTGCCCAGAAGCCCTTACACGATTACGTGAGTTTGAATAGAGTGCTTTGATTAGTGCAATGTACTTTCTTGGCACTCCGTTCACGAGAAAGGTAGGCCTGGATTTGCAATATAACAAACGCTTTTAAGTCAACTCATCAACAATCTCCTACCATTGATTCTTTGAAAGGTACTCAGTTTCAGTTCAGTAAATCATACAACTTTAATGAAAAAAAATGAACTTACCTTGTCAGCAGCTGCTAATAATTCATGCGCCAGCCGATCCATACCGACAACTTGTCCAGTATATATATAACGTAGAACTTCAGCCACAGTATCTGGTTCCATATCTGTAATTTCAACTCGATTAGCTCTAGACTCTTCCATGCCATGTTCAAACATTGCAGCAAACACCGGGCTTCTAGCAGCTAGAATTGCTTTGTGTGCTTCAAATTGTCGAAGGACAACACTAGAATTTGAAACACCACTAACTGTTGAACTACTACTACTAGTACCACCACCACTAGTCGTAGATCCTGTGCTGGAACACTTTACAGTCTGATCTGTTACACTTAATGGGCCTACAGTGGAACTTGATGGAGTAGCTGCAGGATTGGAATGAGATGAAGTTGTTGTTGAAGCTGCTTTTGAAACAGTGGCTAAAAGTGATGAGTCTCGAGTGTTGCGATTACGTGAACGATTTGAAGTTGTAGTAGTCGATGTACTATTATTGCTATTATTATTATTGTTACCCCTTCTTCGAGTACTCCGTCGGACACGACTTGAAGTACCAGAAGTTTCAGCTTCGACAGACTCTTCAATGGCTTCAGGTTTCTCTTTGGACGTGATCAGAGGAGTGGAGACATTATTCACAAGAGGAGAACTACTTTGGCTTATTGTTGTACTGCTTGTAGTTGTACTGCTACTTCCTACATCTGCGTTGTGTGCAACAGTTTGTTTCACTTTACCACTACACGAAGCCGATGATGATGAATCAGTAGTTGTTGGTAAAGCAGAGGATGTTGAAGGTACTGAATTGGATGTGCGAGGCCTATGAATACCTGAAAAGTGAGAGAGAGAGAGAGAGAGAGAGAGTAGCATCAGTAAGCAGTGAAGTCATACAACAGTGGATACAACTCCGCTGAAACCGGAGTTACATGCTATCATTGAAAGATAGCTTGGAATTGTTTCAATTAACGAAATGCCTTCCACATTTGAGTAATACCTATCAATATTGACCATGACGAATTAATGCAACACACAAGCCACTATCTTCTAAGACTGACTGCGATGAAAAGATATAATATGGCTCAGCAACTACCACGTATTATTTTCAGAAACAAATTAACTTGGTGTGAAATGTAGTGTACACTCAAGTGAGACATGACCATTTAAAGTGAACGATATCAAAAGCCTGGCTAGCTGTCTATAATCATAGATATCCACATTCTATCCCCATGTTACGCTGTAGGTGTAATAGGGTGAGTAATATCGAATTGACGTTAAGCATCGGTCGAGTGACAGGTAAGGAGGAGTGATCTATCGACGAGGTTGTGAAGTTACATCGATTGAGATGGTTAGAACAACAGAACAGAACAACGCATGAATCCATAGACATCACCTACCTCGACAACAGGCAATGTTAGCCACTGACGTAGGATTGATCAAGTTTGAAGAAAGTTAGTGGTGGGTGGTGAAACGAAAGTATGGCCTCGTCAGTCAATGAAGTCCACAACAGTTAGTTTAAGCCAGCCAGCCGCCCAGTTCACGTAAGAAGGTGTAGACTTCATGATTGACTGGTTAGGATCCTCGGGACAGTAAACACCAGGGGCTGCAGACAGTTGGTGGTGATATGGCTCAAAATCCTCATTCTCAATGGTTGGTGCAGATATATTCATTCACTCTGTGATTTGTCATATCCAATAAGAGTCTGTTGTTCTTCCATATTACTTTTCTTTTTCCCCCAGTCACTCTTGTGTTTATTATCTCTCTTTTGATGAATCTGTGTATACTCTCGTCTCTTGCTTTGTGTGTGTGTGTGTGTGTGTGTGTGTGGAGAGAGAGAGAGAGAGAGAAAGAGAGAGTGGAAAGTGGAACTGGTGCATATCTGTGCAAAGTAGTTGCATGTTGAAACTAGTCAGTCAGTTATTAAGACGACGTAACTATACTTTGAATAAATATTGGCTGAGTGGTATACGAGCTTGCCTTGCAACCAGAAGGTTCTGAGTTCAAACCACGGTGGATGCGTACTGCCGATGATTCCCAAACTAAGATGAAACAGCTATCTATAGTACTGCCTGGTTTTCAATGGTTCTCTAACTCATATCAATCCGTGATCAACTCGTAAAAACAAAACTAATCCTTACAAAAACCAACTATAGAAAAATAAAACAAGATTTTTCTGAACGTGTTTCGCTGTGTAAGCTACAGCTTCTTTAGCAGGGATGATTTAGTGAATATTTCTGAATATTCCGATATTTCCTTAAACACGCTGAGATTATTTTAAATAATTACAAATCGCTCCATTATTTATCTCATTTTTATTAGCAATAGGATTATTGTTACTGTGTTTATGACTAGTGTGTCAGTGGTTCACAGGTAGAACGCTTGTCAATCACATCCCACGTGGTCCACGGTACGATCCTCGCCTGACGCACTCCCCTAAACCTCGTTAAGCTGGTAAAAAGAGAAGGCTGGGCGCGTAAGAAGAAAACCACTTCTACTGAAACTTCAATACTCTAACTTGAAGTCTTAGGTTCCACTGGGAACTTGAAGGAATGAAATAAAATGATTATGACTAATGGTATAATTTACAGGCACAATCTTATCATTCTATAGACAAATCACCACCATGACTGGTTTATATCTGATATTTATTGGTGAAGTTATGCATATCAGAGTTAAGCCTAATGAGAGCTAATTGGAGACGATATTGTCCACTTACACTTATGCATAAAGCTTGTTGTTAATACCCAGTTGCCCAGGTTGAAAAAAGGCGGAACGAAACCGGCTCCTGCCACCAACTGGCTGAAACTCTAAAGCCCTATATCGTCGGAGAATATTCACAATATTGGACAAGATTATTCTACCACTAATGAATTTAAACTACTGTGCGTCAGTGGCACAGTGGTTAGGACTCTCGCCGACCATGCACATGGTCCGAGGTTCGGTCCCCTGCTGACGGACACCTGATATCTATGGTCGGCATGCAAAAGTTGGGCTACCGATATCCATGCTGAAAATTCCATACTTGTACCAAAAATACAGCGTGCAATCAAGCTGTGAATCAAAATTAAAAAATAAAAAAACCAGCCTCTGTTTCAGCGGATTGAAACTGAAATCAAATATCCTGGTAGTGGCAACTCCATACATCATTACCTATTGCAATCTAGACGCCAGGTTGTACACAACTTTATCTTACAACACTTTACATTGGTTAAGATATTCAAAAAAGAGCATATAAGATCATATTCACTTACAACTGGCATTTGGTTTCACCTCTCGATCATCACGATTTATGTTCCCCTGAGTAGAAACATAATTGGAAGACGACGAAGTCAGCCGCCAGTCACTATTTGTAGCATTATTAATTGAATGATCTCCAGGATATTGTTGTTTTACAGAGACTGAATCTCCAACACTGCCACCAGTACACGAAACTAATAGTGAACTAGGATTAGCTGAAGCCATAGGAATGATTACACCTTTTGTAGGGACATTCGCTGTCGTAGAAGCAGCCAGTGTCAGTGTAGTAGTTGAAGACGAAGACGAAGAAGACATTACATGTCCAGGATGATGATGATGACTGGGATGAGACGATGTACTAGAAGCATGATTATCTCCAGTGTTTGAAATTCGATGAGTTCCTGTTGCTGTGGTAGCAGCAGAAGCAGCAGCCTCTGCTTCACCCTGTTCAGTATTATTACTACCGCCACCAGTATTCGATGTTAGATGACTACTGCCATCAACAAAATATATTAATTGTGATTCTCTATAACTCGATTGTGTCTCTTCTTCACGTTCACTGTCATTCCCTGGAAGTTCACCACCACCACGACCACGACCAGCAGCTCCAGTCTCATCCTCATTATCTTCTCCATCATCATCTTGGCCATCTTCATCCTGCTCCTCCTCCTCACCATCATCATCATCCTCATCGTCGAACTCTTCACCTTCATCCAGTTCCTCCTCTTGATCCTCTTCATCACCATCATCATCGTCGTCGTCGTCTTCACCGGTGGATTCATAAGCAGCTGTAGAGAATTTAGTGCTCACTTGTTGTTGTTCACTAACAGAATTTAAGCTAGGTAATGGACCACCACCGCCGCCGCCAACACCACCACAAATACTTGGTGATTTTCCATTCGATTGACTGCTGTTATGATTATTGTTAGATATAACAACTAATGTGACATCAGTTAAGAGTTGTTTAAATAACAGACTGCCAATATCTTCGTGTAAATTACACTCTGGGACAGTAATTGGTTGATTGTTAACTTGACCACTTTCAGAGAGAGTTTCACCCACAACGGAAACCTGTTGTTAATTTTTATTTAGAGAAAGTATAATACAATTAGGATAGTCATATTATATTAAAAGTACTCGTATGCAAGAAAACCAGATGGTAGCATAAAAAGAAATTTGCACAGAAAAAGCACTTGGACAGGATAGCATACACACATTTTCACAGCTTCGTTCCTATGAAGTATGAAAAGCAATTTAGTGAAGACCCTCAGCCACAGAGTTGGTTAGAGCTATATGCTCAGAAGAAGTAACTGAAGATGAATTAAGCATTGTGTATATGATACTTTGATCGAAAATGGCTATCCCGAAAAATTTATCAAGAAACACATGACAAAGAAAACGGAAAACGAGTACTCACTATCTGTAAAAAAGGAGGCCTCTTTATGTACGACTACAATTCATAGGTGATATACTAAGCGAGATAGTTGCCAAGAAATTAAGAAAATCAGTTCAAAGAACTTTTAGCATCGGCGAACTACACGTCTTATTCTCTACACGACCGATGGTGAATCCTCGACTGAAAGATGCAGTACCTAGACTGGCTGGCCACTTCTAATTGTATGTATCAATTCAACTGCGCTTCTGGAGCCAGTTATATTGGCCGTGGTTCTAGGAACTTGATTTTTCGTGCTCACTCGAGAACATCTCCCGGCATAGCTAAGTAAAGGTGTAGTGAAAACTATTAACAGCTAGATATTGGAACATCTGGTGCAAACCGGCCACAAAGCCAGCCAGCGTGGAAGAATCCTTCTCTATATTATACCGGGTGCCAAATAAATTACCAAGAACATCGAAGCACCGCAGGCTTCAAACAGCAGAGGCTATTGCGATTCGCCTCAAACAACCAGCGCTCTGTGTTCAAAAGAAGCAAGTTCAGCCCCTACTATTGCCCTGGCCTTCAGTAGAAGCTATAAACTCATGAATTTGTTATATTATCCTTCCTAATTCTTCTGACATTCAGCTAATTTTATGTTGATGCGATTCAGCTGTAATCTATCAACATTACTGATTTGGTGTTATTTAAACAACGACATTAATGTCGTTCATAACACTAATTCATTCATTCACTATAATGTATGTATAAATGTAGAGCCTGATGATGAAGGGGTTATCGAAAAGAGTACTCTTTGTTCAGTATCCATTCTTTTGAAAATTTTAATGGGCATTTTTAATCAGTTGAAATAAAATACACAAATCGAAGACATGGTATGAAAAAGAATTCCATTAGCATTACTTTATATAATATGCAAACGTACAGTGTGAGTAGTACAGAGTAGTTATTTATTCGATGATGAGCAATAATTCCTCAGCTACTTGTTACGTAACTGTTACGTAATGGGCAACAAGTCACACCTATTTGTGCGAGAATTAGTGAGTGGTCTCTGCTTAACTGTCATGGCCTTGATAGGTGTTGACGGGTTCGAACTGCATGACCTAGCAGTAACCAGTTCGAAGTCGACAGCCTAGACCTGACTAAATACTTCCAACATGCAACTCCTTTGCACAGATATATTTATTTAAACGCAGAAAAAACTTGATATAATATGGCACCAAGAAGGATGCGCCACACAATAATAATAAAACAGTACACATTAAAAGTAAGAATATGTGTGGAGAACGGATAAAGAACTTCATCTGGAAGGAAAACAGTCATACTTAACAAGTTCAAACAGTATTCGTCAACTATCATCGGGAAGGGAAGAAAGAAGGAAATTGCAACACGTTCGCCACTGATTACGATTCTTGGCCATATCCGATAAGGTTTCAAGCTATCTCTCGGACTCCAACCAGGGAGTCGTGATACACCAACTGATGCTAATATAGCACAAATACCCTTCATCCAACGACGCCACGTCATCGACTGACCACCTCTCCGCCTTTTCCCACGGCTGGCTAGCGAACAGAGACCTGTACGGAAGCCTCTGGGATGGCATTCACAGCACATGTCCAAGCCACCGCAGCCAGTGTTCCCAGATGACGACAATCAATGAGTGGTGATCTCCACAAACACAAGCCGCCGAACCTCAGAATTAATCACACGATGATGCCATCGAACGCAAGCAATCCTGTGGAGACAGCGATGATCGAACACGAGGAGCCGCCACACATCCTCATCTCAAAGACCAGGTTTCACAGGTGTGGAGCATAACAGCCCGCACCGAAGCATTGTACACCCGACCTTTGACGGCCAGGCTAACGTCACGACGGCTCCATAGGTGGCTCAAGTTGATGTATGCCACTCTACCTTTCACTATACGGTTGGAAATCTCATCCTGCACCCGTCCACCAGCACTCACACAACTACCCAGATACACAAACTTATCAACAACTTCAAGCGGTTCACCCGCAAGAGTGCACAGATATGCGCCAGTTTTACTTGCCACTCTCCACACACACACACACACACACAAAGCAAGAGACGAGAGTATACACAGATTTATCAAAAGAGAGATAATAAACACAAGAGTGACTGGGGGAAAAAGAAAAGTAATATGGAAGAACAACAGACTCTTATTGGATGTGACAAATCACAGAGTGAATGAATATATCTGCACCAACCATTGAGAATGAGGATTTTGAGCCATATCACCACCAACTGTCTGCAGCCCCTGGTGTTTACTGTCCCGAGGATCCTAACCAGTCAATCATGAAGTCTACACCTTCTTACGTGAACTGGGTGGCTGGCTGGCTTAAACTAACTGTTGTGGACTTCATTGACTGACGAGGTCATACTTTCGTTTCACCACCCACCACTAGCTTTCTTCAAACTTGATCAATCCTATGTCAGTGGCTAACATTGCCTGTTGTCGAGGAAGGCGATGTCTATGGATTCATGCGTTGTTCTGTTCTGTTGTTCTAACCACCTCAATTGATGTAACTTCACAACCTCGTCGATAGATCTCTCCTCCTTACCTAGCATTCGACTGATGCTCAACGTCAATGCAATATTTCTCACCCTATTACACCTACAGCGTAACATGGGGATAGAATGTGGATACCTATGATTATAGACAGCTAACCAGGCTTTTGATATCGTTCACTTTAAATGGTCATGTCTCACAGGTATAAAGGAGGAGGATGGCGCGAATTGCTGAACAGTACATACGTTTTTTGGTCGACAGCGCCTAGACCACAACACGAAACATTATCCAGGATATAATGTGTCATGCGGCAAGCAGCAAAAGCTCATTCTAACCCCTAATTTGAGCACTACTACCACTGCTATCACCGAAAAGATGTGATCAACGCCACCGAATAAATAACTCACTCTACAGTATTAGAGTGGACATTGAAATTATATTTGATTGATTCACAAATGCTTTTTAAACACACTCACAGACTTTTGCTAGTAAATGTTTAACAGAATGACACTGGCTAAGTCTAAGTAGATTAAGACACTAACAATCAAAATACTAAATTTTTTTCACGGCTAAAAGGGCGTTGGTTCTTGCAGAGACCCTTAAAAAGGTGAAGAAATTGAACAGCAGGTGTGCTTCAAGTCATAAAATTTTAAGTCATCACGTGTTTGATCATTTAAATTATTCAACAATGTGACATACCCTTGTTAAGAGAGGTGGTACAAAACCACTCTCTTCAATAGCACAATTAGTTTATGCAATGAGGACTGATGTTTCACAAGTAAGTAACTTAACAGAAGTGAAATAAGTGAGAAAGATTTCTCCCGTTGTTGGCAACTGGTCTTTTTTCTGTCCTCTCTATGTTCGTTCACCTGGACTCCAGTTTTCGCTGCCTAAGTGTTGATTTTCCCCAGTAGATCTTCGAATTTGTGCAACATTAGACATAAGTCTTCCACGGGGCTGAGAAATTCTACTGCCTATCTTCTAGCTTTCTCACAACCTGTTGCATCATCTAAGTTCACCAAAATCAGGAATACGATCGATGATAGAAAAGGCAGTCTAGTCTTACATCCGTCTTCATTTCAAAAGCCTCACTGAGCTCTCTCTCTCTCTCTCTTGGCATGCAACATCACCATACAGCTGTTTAATGAGGTTAATCCATGTTTGTGGTACTGTACTCCTTAATGTCGAAGCAGTTCCCAAATTACTTCGCAATCGATCGATGCCATAGAAGACCTTTACAAAGTCGACGAAGTTGAAGCACCCAGTTGACTGTCATTCTCGGTTCTATTTGATGGTGGTTTACCCACATTAACGGTAATGAATGACTGATACCAGTAGCTACTAAGTTAAGAAATGATTTATAAAGTATAAATTTCTAAACTTTCAATTAATTATTTGCTATTTCTAAATGTTACGCCTATAGTTGGAGAGTATGTTTTCTGTGCAAGAAGGAGTATCACCATACGCACACACACACACACACACACACACAAACAACAGAACATAACAATTATAAACCAGTGACTAGTTTTAATAAGACTCAGTCACCCAAAACAGATTCTCATTTACCAGACAATGAAACACAATTATTGCGTGAGAGGTGACGATTCTACTATCCCCAGCATTTTGTTTCTAGTTTTTTTTTTATTACAGCTTGATTCCACACCGTATTTTCGATACAAATATGGAATTTTCAACATGTGATATCGGTAGCCCAAATTTTGCAGGCCGACCATAGATATCAGGTGTGCGTCGGCAGGGGATCGAACCCCGGACCATGTGCATGGTCGGCGAGAGGCCTAACCACTGTGCCAGCGACGCACAGTTACCTAAAGTAGATTGAAATAGATTTTAACTCAGGAGCTAACTCAATGAATGACTGAAAGTGAAGCCCAATGCGTCTTGGAACTAAGATTTCGTGCTTATAGATACTTATACACATACACATATATAGTCAATGTGTACCACCTGCAACTCCAACAAAACTTAAAGATTAGAATACACATTACTCAGAGTGCAAGTTATTGACTTTATCCCACTAAGCCATTAATAAGTCTCCAAAGCCTCAGGATGGTCGGGGGTGGGTGCCTTGCGCTGCGGTTTGGCCACCCATCCGTACACCTCTTGAAATGCTCCCATATGACCGGGCGTCTTACATAGCCTCTCCTGAGGAAGTCCTACTCACTGCCTTCACGTGGCGGAGGTGTTTTTCACCGAAGTGAGAAGGCAAAAGAGGATGCCCGGCGCTCTTCACCAAGTTGACTGTCCATTGGATGACAGTCTAGGGGAGATGGCTAAACCCTGATTCCAAACCTCCAACCACTGGCGTATGAAGCTCACCGGTAGACGTATGGACAAAGGGCTTATTGGATGCCCTGGATGTCTGGCCCCATTCAAAAAAGCGTATGAACCGGACTCCGGCCACCGGCTGCCAATGGATAGTGGACTCCCTACTCCACTCCTACTGCCTTGTAGGTCACACTTGGTTGTGTAAAGGCTAGAGCTGCACTCTCAAACAAAAGGCCGAGAGATGCTGGGGGCATCACTCATGTTCATGAAGCCGACTCATCCTCCCGTAAGAGATAGCCGAAGTAAAGTAAGTAATCGATCACCTATGCATAGAATCGATCAATGCAGAGAAATCAATCACAAGATGAAAAATAATGTAGCTATATGACCATAAATGATAGTAATGATTAGCACCCAATCAATGAGACTAGCTAGATTTTGGCTGGCACGCTTGAGGGAACTGTGACTCACACTGATCTGGGTGTTCGAATGTCAATCACTCACTGGGTTATGGTCACGGAGTCTAGAGAGGCTCACTCCATCTATCGAAGTTTGGGCGACAAAAGTAGGTGTGACTCATCACTAACTGCATAGAAATACAACCGTTTGTTGAGATTAGATAGCCTACATCACAACATTGCGATTCACTCTCACTCTCGTAAACATTTATAATACCCCCTAGGTGGTACAATTTTAATTTACCAGTCAATACTTTTAATTTAAAAAAACACTCAGTATAACAATCACATAAAAGATTGTGCATACCTCACATAAAATTGTTAATCGATCATTGGGTAGTAAACCATTGGCTTCATCCATTAAGACATCTCGACGTATAAACTTTTTAAAGCCCCAATCTTTGCCTTGAACAAATCTATAAGCACGTTGACTTTCTATATACAATGAAAACATAAAAATAGAAGAAAAACATTGCAAAAAAATATTCCCCAAAAATCGAAAATATTTACTCCCTGATACAAACTTAAAACAAGCAACAAAATGTGGCTACTAGAACAGGATTTAATGAGTTCATCAAATCTCGGTAGAACACCTTGGCTAAACACTCTTCTACACATGTACTATCATCAGAAGTGCATTGGAGGCATCTGACTGATAAGTAAATAGACTACAATTAAATCAGTCATGCAAAACAACAAGTCGTGTTTGAGATAGATAAGAGAGAGACGAGTAAAACAGATTAAAATTATGATAACAATAATAATAATAACAGCTTTATTCCAAACAGTTTTTGTGGTACAGTTATGGAATTTTCAGCGTGCATTACAATATTATATTGCATCTAATTACCTCATAAATTTTATAACATTTTAAAACCAAAAAGCAACGCCAAAGAAACAGATACATAAAAAGAAATAAAAAAGAACAGCGTTGCGTTTACATTTTAAACAATGCACCACATGATATGAAGTATAAAATTAGTGTGTAATAGAAGATGAGAACAACAGTGTAATAGTAACGAGGAAAGGAAAACAAAAACTAATGGGACTATTTGTTAGAGTACCGCAGTAAGTTGATCGTGTCATACCTAACGGATTTCTCATCACATAACAGCTGTGCCAGATATGGTATTGTGGAGATTTTGTACTTGATAATCCTAGTATATAGCCTCCTTCCTATAGCTGCTTCTAGTTCTACCAGATGAAATGCAAGGAGACAGCTGAGTATAGAGAGGATACTCGGGGTCTGACAATATTGTATTTGCTAGTTTCTTACATGACATTCATTATATGTCTATCCACAATAGTGTTCACCAGTTGGTTTAACAATATCCCACTTGCCCTACCAACGGCTTTAAGTGCCTGCCCTTGTCAGCAAAGCAAAGTCTTTCTTAAGTAGTCCAGGAAAGATTAGTGGAGAACCGTAAAGGGGGATGGGTACAATACAAGAATTGACAAACTGAGAAAGCAAAGACTGCTTTATGCCAGACTGCCTTAATTTCCTAATGTAGAACGTTAAACGAAACATCTTTCTAGTAACTAGTAAGATGTGGGAGGACCAGGAAAGATCGGTGGAAATACTCAGTCCAAGGTACTTGACATTAGGTGTATTTTCAACTTCTATGCCGTCAATGATAGTGGGGCCACGTGAGCTAACTAGTTGCTGTAGGTCACGTTTACGTCTGAAAGTGGAATTGACTACCTGACATTTAGACGAATTTAGCTTAAGACGGTTTGAAGAGGACCAGTGACTAATTTCCGACAGAAAGTTATTTAATTTGGAACAATCTGACTGAGAGTTGACAGGCATAGAAACAGTGAGGTCATCAGCATACTTGACAAAAGTGGCTACATCAGAATGGGGCAAGTCATGTAAGAAAAAAGAAAACAGAAAAGGAGAAAGAACAGCACCTCGAGGAATACCAGCTAAAGTAAGTGAGGTAGTGGAGGACTTTCCATTGTAGACGGTGTACTGCTTCCTATCAGAAAAATAGGCATGCAACCACCACTTATTTGTCTAGCTCTCAGCCTGTGTTGCAGCAGGCTTACTTAGCAAGAGAGGCCTGGGAACAGATGATGATAATAATGGATTACGGTTCAATGACATCATTTAAATAAACAATTAATTATCAAAGAAAGAATTTGAAAATGTCTGCCCAGGTCTCCGCAAATGCGAGCATCAATCTGTTTGTTTGTCTGCTGAGAACAATGGATGGACTAGACACCGTTAATATCATCATATCTGTAGTCTCTATAAGATGATTCGTCATTGAAGTGTTTAGCACCTTGACTTAAACCTTTTCTTTTCATTCACTTGGATAAATGCTCCATCAAGTGAGTAGACTAACAATTTTCTGTGCAGCTTATGCATTCGCTTCCACAAAGTGAAAATGATGCAGACAGTTTAAAGTGTCAGGCATTGGTTGCTCGTCTTCTCCAGATTGTTGAAGCATAACGCCGCCTGGTGGCGTTAAGGAACACAAGCTTTGCAGTATATTTTTTTTTATTTTTGATTTTTGATTATAGCTTGAAACCACACAGTATTTTTGGTACAAGTATGGAGTCTTCAGCAAGTGATATCGGTAGGCCAAATTTTGCAGGCTGACCATTAATATACGGGGATCAAACCCTGGACCATGTTGATGGTCGGCGAGAGTCCTAACCGTTGTGCCACCAACGCATAAAAAATATAACCAAGTCTACATTTAACCAGTTCTTGTAGGTCAACTTCTTTAAAGGGCAAGCTATGGAAGTATCCTTAACTGAACGTAGTGACTTAGGAATCGACTTGTTACCAGGGAATAATCTTATGGACTTAGAATATGCAGATGACATAGTCCTGTTAGGGGAGGATGCTGACAAAATGCAGAGTCTTCTGAACACCTTGAGCAGCAATCTTCGTATGTTTGGCATGCGATTCGCCCCTGCAAAATGCAAGATGCTGCTACAGGACTGGACGACGTCAACCCCTAACTTAGTGATAGGGAGTGAAGTGATAGAACATGTTGACCACTTCACCTACTTGGGAAGTTGTATCAGCACCAACGGACTGATTGGCGATGAAATCTCAGCACGGATCCGAAAAGCTCGAGCTGCTTTCGCTGACTTACACCATCTCTGGCGTAGGCGTGACATCCGGTTATCAACCAAGGGACGTGTGTACTGCTCATCAGTTCGCTCCGTCCTTCTCTATGGCTCTGAAACATGGCCAATACGCGTTGAAGACATGAAAAGGTTGACTGCTTTCGATCATAGATGTCTGCGATCTCTGTCTCACGTTAGGTGGTTTAATAAGGTAAGTAATGTTGACGTTAGGCGTAGAGTGTTGGGCAAAGAGGGAAAATCAATCGACGAGGTTATAAAGTTACATAGACTAAGATGGCTAGGTCACGTGGTGCGCATGCCTAACCACCGCCTCCCCCGACGGGCATTGTTAGCTGATATAGGTTCAGGTTGGAAAAGAGCCAGTGGTGGCCAAACAAAAACATGGCATCAATCCATGAAATCCTTGACAGTTAAACTGAGTCAGGTAGGGAGATGCAGACTCCCGGGTTGGGGCCCTCGGGACTCTAGGAATCAATGGCTGGAGACAATAGGTGACATGGCTCAAAATCGTTGTCAATGGCGCAGATGTATTCAATCTCTGTAATCTTTCATATTCCTTTCTACCATTACCCATTCTGTTTCACTCTTATATTTGTCAAACTCTATTAATTCTCTCCACTCATCTTCTTGTCTACCTCTGTGTGCTATTTGGAACGTGGCAACTCGAACTGCTGCACTTCGGTGCCAAGTTCTATGTTGAATCCAGACAGACAGAAAGGGCAAGCTGATATACACAGATTTCTTCGTATTTCTAATAATATATATAGATGTCACCGTATGCAAGACATCCAGCTATGGAGTTTCACTGAAATTTGATGAATTCACCAGAAACCTGCTTTGTGCTTCAGTGGTAGAATATACTTGCCAACCCCATCCATGAGATTCTGGGTCCGATTCCTCGTTGACACATTCTTAAACTTCGCATAGCAGGTAGTAAACCTGGTTAAAGAGAGAAGGCTGGGCGTGAGGCTAGAGACCCCACCACCACCAACGCCACTGAAACTTCAAAGCTTAAGCTTGAAGACGCGTGTTCCACTAGGAACACACAAAAGAATGGAGGGTGGACGGCGGGGGGAATTAAATCCTGCTTTATCAATCACATTTGTCGCTTGTTTTTTTTTAAATTAAGAATTCCTACTAAAATACATAGACAGACAGACATATAATATAACCTACCCATTGCTTTTGTCTCTTCACGTTTATTATTTAATATTGAAAATTTAAACTTGGCTCTAGCTTCACTTTTTGTACCACAATTGACCAATAAAAGGTAGAGTGATAGGTATTCTCTACTTTCTTCATCTAAGCCTTTTGGATTGATTCTTAAACACCTTGATAAACATGGCAGGTAATGAGTAATGATTTTGCTCTTTTCTAATATAAATAAACTAACCACTTTAATTTATCATTTGGACCACAAGAGAAAAATGAACTTTTTACTACTTCACCCATTTCTTCCCGACAAAAACTAAAATTGCTTATCGTCCAAACATATTTCATCTTAGTGACACGGACCTTTATAGAAAAAAAGAAAGTATATTATTTGTATTTACAAGCAAAACTATATTGTTTTTACTTGTGTATGACACCAGTATTCAGCAACAATCGGTGGAGGACTGATAAGATCCAAAGGAGGTGGGGAACTGGTACGACTAACAGTAGCCACTTGACCATCAGTACTATCCAGTGTAGCTCTTAAAGCATCCATGGAACTAACTGTGTAAAAAAAAAGAGAAAAGTGGAAAAAATGGAATTATGTAATGCAGTTTCTCAAAGATAAATGAAAACATCTATCTACATAATTTGAACATAGAACGATTAGTTTTCAAAAACAGTTCACATGACTATGAGAAGACCTTTGAATACTGAATGAACACTAGGAAGATACCGAAAATTAGACTATTCTGTAATCATTTTTCGTGATATAAGCAATGGGTTCACAAGGGACTTAAAAATTGTCTACGTTAGCTAACTGGGATGTAAGAAGGGTTAGGTTGGATGATATGTAAAGGTTGATCAAGTCAAAACATGGTATCAATCTATGAAGAATTTTTTCAACGATTTGTTTAAACCACATAGAAAGATGTACATTGTTTGGTTCGGTTCCTCAGGATGTTAAAATTTAATGTCTGGAATATTGATGATACTGGCTCAGAATTGTTCTCAGTAGCTCAAAGAATGGTGCAGTTGTACAATCGTAATTCGTCATATATTTCCGTTTTTCTGAATTAGGATAGCTAAAAAAAAGTGGAGATGTAACCATATTGCCTCCAAACAGTGAACTCTTTGATTACTCATGAGTTATAACACATTTTCATATTCATTTAATTTCACCTTTATGAATATGTATCATCAGATAATACTTGGATCATGCAGCAGACTGTAGGGAGTGAGAGAATAGGAATACATTGGACTGATAAGAAGACTCTAGAAGATCTGGATTTCGCGGTTGACTTATGTCTGATGTCGCAAGCTCGAAGACCTAAAGGCGAAAACCGACACTGACGGAAAAAGCAGTCTTTAAGTGAGCATAGGGAAGACGAAGGTGTTGAAGACAACCAACCAGTACCAATCACTATCAACAGAATAAATTTGAAGGAGGTCACTTCCTTCACTTTACCAGGCATAATCGCGTTTCAACTAAAGGTGACAACACGGATAAAGATATCAAAAGCAGAATCAGAAAGGCAAGCAGACCTTCAGTCTGATATGAGTTTGGAAATCCATTGCACTCAGTCTGAAGGACAAAATTCGGATTTCCAACACAAATTTTAAACCGGCTTTCCTATATGGGTCAGAAACTCGTACTGCATGTCACAAAAAGCATTTCAAAAATGCCTTCAGACTTTTATGAAAAGCTGTCTTTGCTGGCTCTATACTGTCTGTCTGTCTGTTTTCGACATAGAACTTTGCACAAATGTGCGGTGGTTCAAGTCGCCACACTCCGTGTAGCACGCGAAGCAAGAGAAGAAAGTACAAGAAAAGCATAATAGAGACAGTATGCAGGGGTGTGAGACAAAGGAAGAGTAATAATGAAGAACAATACAGTTTCATTGGTTACGGAGTGGATGCACCTGCACCAGCCATTAAGAACGATTTTGAGCCATATCACCGATTGTTTCCAGCCATTGGTTTTTTACCATCCCGGGGACCTCAACCAGGAAGCCAGTCTACACCTTCCTACGTGACTGGCTTAAACTAACCGTTGTGGATTTCATTGACTGGTGGCATGTTTTGGTTTGACCGCCGCCACCTCTTTTCCAGCCTGACCCTATATCAGCTAACATAGCCTGTTGTCGAGGAAGGCGGTGACTAGGCATACGTAACACATGTCCTAACCATCTCAGTCGATGTAGCTTCACAGCCTCGTCGATTGATTTCCCTTCCTTACCTAGCACTCGACCGAAGCCTAACCTCAACATTGCTCACCCTATTATACCACTTCACACGAGAGATAAAACGCAGGCACCCATGATCAAAGACAGCTAGCCTTTACATATCCTCCACTCTCAATGGCTAGGTCTCATAGCCATAAAGGAGGACGGAGTGGACTGATGAGCAGTACACTCGCCCTTTGGTCGGCAGCCAGCTAGCCGGATATCATGTCTACGCCATAGATGGTGTAAACTGGCATATGCGAAACCAGCCCTCTGTATACGTGCTGAGATTTCGGCTCTATACTGAAGATCAGATCACTAGAAAGAACTAGCAACAAGAAACTCTGGGAATGAACCAATCAAGAGCCTATTGCTGAACAAATATGTCGGAGAAAATGAAAATAAATCAAACGATTTGGGCTTTGTTCCAAGGATGACATGGGAGAGATCGTGCGAGGAGGAAATGAGACTGACTGATTGACTGGTTTCAACATAGAACTTTGCACAGACGTGAAGCAGTTCGATTTGTAATCCTGGAGCCAGCTTAAAAAGGACTGCATAGAACAAGACAACATACAGATGTGATTTTGAGGCCCTATGTTCCACTCAGAACCCAAAGGAATAATGATATAGTGAATAATACTTGTAGGTATGCCAACTTGCAGAACTAAAAGATATAATAAATTGAGATTTTACAGCAGCTATTGACAATGAAAGTCTTGCTGAAGCTTCCCCTAAAGCTCTAATGGCTATTTTTTAATAATTTAAAGAAAAAAGTGAAGTCCTCTTAACGCAGACAGCAATAGTGGATCGTTTAAACCTAGCAGTACTTTCACAAAAAACAAAATATCAGTGAGAAGGATGAAGAGATGTAGCGTAACCTTTTCAACTAACTATGTGTACATTAGAATTTTATCATTTCATATTTAAAACACTACACATGAGCATTCGACAAGTACCGCATGAATGAAATGACTTTGTCTTTAAGTTCAGTGTCCCTATTCAATAGAGTGTAGTTTAATATTTAGCACGATAGAGCACTCCTTAGATAACAAGAAAATTTTGCACTACAAAAATGAAACCTTAGCTTGGTGATATCTTATTTGTTAATACTACTGAGACAGCCCAATTACGATGATAAAATAATACCACACATTCGTTTTACTCATACCCTCATGAAAAATTCAGTAGTTCGGTAAAAAAAATTTGATTTCAATTTGTTTCATGCTCATCTTGTTCACACCCGTAATTCGTTTTATCCCTGTGTAATTTTCGTTTCTAAGCCTCTTGTAATTCATATCAAGTTGAAAATAATTATCACCTTTTATTCGCCTTTAAAATTATTATTTCTCCAGTTATCAAATATTTTAATTTTGTATACGTTGTAACTGTTTTCTAAGCCTATGCAATCATGTCTCTTAGCCCCTTGTAACCTATATTCGTACCCTCATATCAACTTTCATATCAAGTTGAAAATTATCTTCCTCGTTACTATGTGGAATTAAATAAATAATAATTGTATCCATGTAAACTAATGTATATAAATGCGATTGTATAGCTTTTGAGTAAGAAATCGCCGAAAAGATATCTTTACTGAACTTCTTGTTCTTCTCCATTTAATGTCCCGATGGGTATTTTCAACGATTTGAGAAAATATATAGACCTCACTGGTCACGACTTCTCCCTAGAACTCCAGGAAACTCTATCCTGTAACAAGTCAATAGCGAGCATCAGATTAATTCCCTTTAATTCGGGCCCCAGTGGGTGCGTACTACCAATAATTCCCAAAAAATATATACTTAATTTGACTGTAATCAAGACGGTAAATAATGACATAAACTGGATAGTTTTCAGAGATGATAAGTACCGTTCTGAACAACTGAACAAGGTACAACTGTGCACAGAAGTGAGTTGATCAAAGTTGGCACACTAAAAAATGCCACACATCAAAGAAAATAAAAGATACAATGGAACTACAATAAAGGAGGATCTGTGAGAGGGAGCTAATAGAAACAAGTACTTAAAATTTCTGGAATCTATAATATGACAAGGAATAAATACATGTACCTCATTGCAAATGACCCTAAGTGACGTTACCAAGACTCTAGCCACTAATTCCTAGTTAAACAATTTACACCTAGAGTCAATGAAGTTCAGAATCGCTGTCATGTTTTAAGTCATAGTTAATTGGCTTAAGTACTCAGCTGCTGATCAGTGGGTCATGTGTTGGGATCCCGTTTCACGTACTTCCAGTTGAACAACTATTATCATTAGCCATCACACAGTATGGTTGGTACCCTAGTAAATCAGTTCAATCTGAGCTCTTTTCTAGCCCTAAACGTACTTCAGTTAACATCTCTTTGAGGAAGGTAGTGGTATGATTCAGACAGACAGGCATCACTAACATATGATTAATCACCGTGGTTACCTGGAGATCGAAAAGGATTACGATTGAGTTCGGCATTATTACCTCCCCTCCCTACTACTTAGTATACGATGACTACGACCGTTGCATATCTAGTGTTCATGTCTCTATACGAATCCCCCACTGGATGCAAGCCAGTAGGGCGTAAATTGGAATCAGCTAAAGCTGCATTAAATAGAAACATTTGATGAAAAAATATGAGTTACGCTGGCATACTTCGGTGACTTGAAGAGTTATTTGAGTTGAAGCAATTGTTATTTGAAGTCCTTCACATCAAAAGGTTCGGAAGGATAGTCATAAAGAGAAAGCTTCTGACATAGTTCGTTCATTTTTGGAAAAAAAGCAGTACGACTTACTAAACAATTTACATGACGATCCACTAGTTTCGGGACATAATTTAATCAGTGGACAGTCGTATATACGTGTCATTTAATGTGCTTTAGACAGTCAAGAAGTACTATTCTAACGCTCACAATCGTTTTCACTCCTTAGTGCATGAGAATGTCAATGAAATTTGAGTTGCATCTATATTTCAGTCCAGATTTAAAGATTAAGCCCTAGAAAACGTTCATCTTATAAACCGCTTACTTACCACCTTTCTGTCGATGGTTATAAGATTCTCTAAGGATGCGAATTTCTATAAATGCAATCTAGACATTAAGTAATGGACTGTAAAAAGACGTTCTTTTGTTTTGTTAAGTGGAACCACTCAACATCGCCCAACAAAGAATTTAAAGAAACGTCAACTCAGTTGATCTCAACAGCTAGAGAAACAATGTCAACTACTTATACACCTCGAAAGTGAACAAAAACGAACTTGGATAGGATTTTACAGGTAATTATAATTTAATTCGCAATCATCTGGTTACTAGTGAAGTAACAGCTGGAGCTGCTTGTCAGAAGTGTCCAATCCTAAGCTTACTACAGTACTGGATTAAATCTCGCTAATTCATAACTAACTCCAACATTATATAGTGAATAAACTCTGAAATTTTCTTGAAACGGTTTGATTATGCTCACAGACCAGAGGTCAGTCCTGGTTTACAGCATGACTGGCACTAATTCAACACACTGTGGTTTATCCAGGCACTTTCAGAAGTAGCTCTGTGTTTGCTAATCAGCGTTGCTTCAGCCCTCTCAGCCCAGATTCAGCAATGAATGGCATTACTACATAACAAAAAGAATAAGGCGCATAGTGACAATTTTTTAGCTTTATTTCAGCAATAAATGCATTACTGCAGATCTAAATCCTACTTTCGAGGTTTCATCGCATTATGTATCCAGTGCTGTTTTTCAGGACAACAAGCATTATTTCAGTACAAAGTGGGTTCCTTTTAGGTAGATTAAATATTCTTTTACCATTTTAAAAAAGGCATGGACACATAGGTTAGAATTAACTTAGAATTAATGTTATCTTGGGATCTTAATATCTTAGATATACTAACAGAAGTGGTTCTCAGGCATGGTGTAAGCGAACAGTTATTAATTACGCAATGCATACTACATACTAGTTACAAAAAGAAATGTAACAGACATCACTTCTACATACCACACTCTGATTAGGACATGTTTTCGTAATAAATGAGCTCTAACTTTGTCCGAAGAGTGGTTATTCGGGCTTCGTAAGAATTGATATAAATTATTTAAATTATACATAGTCATATTTAAATTAAGAAACATACATCCCACTCAGCAACATAAGTCGTGGCGCTTAACGGACATCTACTTCAATTTGGAAATGTCAAACAAATTCAATGACCAATGTCACATTGTGCTGCCTAATGAATGCATCTCTATTACAGCCCGCTTTATGCTTAAATATGTTCGAATCCTAATCCGCAGGCTTCAAGAGCCTAGAGACTGATAAGCATTTCGAGAACATGTCACACAACACTATAATATTACTAGTGATTATAGACTGAAATTATCCAATATCGTTTTTCGAGCTGGTATAAACCAATTTGATTTCTTTGTGCTCGCCTCTTGATTGTAAGGTAAAGGTTCCTGATCTTCGGTGAACTTCTGTGTAGCTCGTCCCGCCACTCGACCGCCGTAGCTTTGGCTGACTCCAAAAAGAGTAGTGCTGGGATTCATTATATATGCATTGTAGTGTAGTGAAGTGTGTTAAGACTGTTACTACTGTGCATGGAGTTGATCCAACAGTTCGTCAGTTAGTCCTTCGGTATCGTCGTCAAAGGAAGAGATAACTATAATAGATATAATTAGTGGAGTTATTTAGACAAAAAGACAGAAAAAGAAATTAGAAAACGTAACAATAGTCAGCTGATTAAATTTGAAGAATAATATGAATAATATATATCGGTAAATAATGATAATAACAATAAGTGTAGTTAAAGTTCTCAGGAGAGTAATACGGGAGAGAATGTAAAGAAGTGAGACGACAAGTTTAATTGTCTACCCCTGAATGGTGTATGCGATTTTAAGGGGACAGGCCATTTCGATGCAGTCCTTGTGTCGCTGCATGACTGTCCGGCCTTCGCTTAAAGGCGTCCACGGACGGTGCCATAGCTACATCTGCCGGTAAGGAATTTCAGGGTCGGCAAACCCGCGGTGAAAAGAAGCTAAAGAGCACCCGAGTCCTCGCCCTCCAGTGAGCTATCCTTCTGGGATTTCCACGAGTGAGCCTATACCTAATCAATGACAGAACACCTTTGTTTGGGAGATTCTGGTCATTTGTTATTTTGAAGGCAGTAACTGAATCCTCCTGAGACACCAGTAGCTAAGTGTGAATGGGCCTAATTTCTTCAGCCTTTCATCATATGGTTTGTTTCGGATGCCAACCACTCCTTTTGTTGCCCGTCGTTCGACTCTTTCCAAGAGGTTGCGTCTCTTCTTAACAGTGGGGGTGTCAATGTAGTTGAAGATTTAACGATCAATTCATGGTTGTTTGCTCAAACCCAACTCCTCCATATTTTTCTCAGGAGTCATTAATCCATCAGTCATCATCTCATCGTTCGCTGTTCAGTGGAAGACAGAAAACTATCAGAAGTATTATCGTGATTCATTGTCATGACATTTATTCTTGGACCTTGTGAATAATAACCTCATTGATGGTTACATATTGGCGTAAGAATAAAGGATTCTCAAGTTGCCAATCTTTGTTCTGGTTTTATGGAGCTGGTTTTTACAAATTGTTCCGGAAAGACATTTTGTATGAATTGGTTCGCGATCATTCTGGTTCCAGACCGAAAAGGATAAAAAATTGACCGGTTGCTGGATCAATATTACTTCTCTGCATGTTTAACTGCATTCTAACTAATGTGGTGCTGGCAACTCCACCCACGTAAAACTCAACCAAATCGCTACAGAAATTTTAAAGCCCAAATACATTAAAAATTCCAAAAATATAAACAATAACCTTATTTTTCACTGAATCTGGGAAGTGAAATGACGCAGGCTGGTGAAGGCCTTCGGGAAGCCAGTCGGCCGATGTGCCTTCTTTCGATGAAGGCAAAAGTAAGGATGGGTACCTGGAATGTTCGCACAATGTACGAAGCTGGAAAGGCTGCCCAAATAGCCGCTGAAATGAGAAGGTACAGAATAGAAGTGTTGGGAGTCTGTGAAAGCAGATGGAACGGAACTGGAAGGTGCCAACTACCAACTGGAGAGACAGTAATACCTTCCGGCAATCCAGAGGACAACCACGGGCACACCGAGGGAGTGGCCATCATGATGTCACCAACAGCAACCAAAGCGCTCATGCAGTGGGAACCAATCTCCAGCCAGGTCCAACTCAAAAGGAAGGAAAGTTACAGTAATTCAATGTCAATGCTATGCGCCTACAAACGTCTCAGAACAAGAGAAGAAGGAGGCGTTCTACAGACAACTACAAGCAATAATGGACAACGTCCGAAATGGCGATATCAGAATCCTGATGGGCGACATGAATGCGAAGCTGGGACGAGACAACACAGGAAGAGAACTTACCATGGGTCGTGAGGCCCTCGGTGAAATGAACGACAATGGTGAACTCTTCTCAGACTTCTGCGCCTTCAATGATCTGGTGATTGGTGACAGTGTACTCAAACACATGACATGAATTTCACCAGATGGACAAACCAGAAACCAATTTCAAGAAAGTGGAGACGGAGCCTACTGGACGCAAGATCAAGGAGAGGAGCAGATGTGGGTTCAGACCACTGTCTAGTAGAAGGAACCTTCAAGGTGAGGCTAAAAGCCTCGAGGATAGCTGAGGACAGGTCACAATGCAAGTTCAACACCCATAAACTGAAGGACACAACCACAAAAGACACTTTCGCTGCAACTGTCAGAGCAAAACAGGAAACACTACGCGACATCACTGAAGAATCATGTGTGGAGGACCACTGGAAGTCTCTGAAGGCGATTCTCCATGAAAGGTGTTCAACGGTTTTAGGAAGAAATTGAGACAAGACAAGGAATGGCTCTCAACGGACACTTGGAAATTAATAGAAGAGAGGAGAATGGTGAAAGAGAAAATGATTCAATGCAAGGACGGACAGGAGAAGGAGACGATGAGCTCAACTTACAAAGCACTAGACAAAGAAGTGAGGAAGAGTGCTAGGAAAGACAAAAGACAATTCTACGACAATCTGGACACTGAAGCTGAGAAGGTAGCAGGTAAAACGGACCTGAGGACATTATATCAGATAACCAAATCTCCATCCGGGAAGAGATCAACATAAGCGAAACCTATAAAAGACAGCCAAGGGGACCCAATTACCAAGGAAGAAAAACAGATTAAACAATGGGCGGATCACTTCAAGGGACTCTTGAACCGACCATCACCTGCGACCCGTCCAGAAATACCAACAACAGCGCGCACACAACTTTAAGTTGACACCAATCCTCCAACGAGAGCTGAAGTCGTGAATGCAATCAACCTTCTGAAAGCTGGAAAGGCAGCTGGACCAGATGGAATACCCCCTGAAGCACTGAAAGCAGACTTAGAGACGACAGCAGATAGGCTGACTGCATTATTGCAAAAGGTCTGGAAGGGGCGAAAGGTGCCTCCTGTTGACTGGAAGAAAGGTGACCTCTTGAAACTAACAAAGAAGGGCGACTCAGGCCGCACTCCGCAAGAACTGGTGATGAATCATGCTCCTGTCGATGCCAAGTAAAATCCTGAGTCGCATCATCCTGGAGAGATGAAAGGACGCAGTGGAGACAGAACTTCGACCAGAACAAGCTGGATTCAGGAAAGGCAAATCATGTACTGACCAAATTGCAACTCCACGCATCATCATCGAACAAAGCATGGAATGGCGATCAAACCTCTACCTCAACTTTATAGACTTCAAGAAGGCCTTCGACAGCGTTGATCGTGAAGTAATTTGGAAATTACTCGAGTACTATGGCGTACCTCAAATATTCCTCAACCTTATTCAACAGTTGTACGACAACGGCACATGTCAAGTGATCCACAACGGAAGACTCGGCGAGGCGTTTGGAGTAAACACAGGAGTCAGACAAGGGTGCTTATTATCACCAATGATATTCCTAATTGTGGTGGACTGGATCATGCGTCAGACTGTGGGAAACGAGAAGACAGGAATATCCTGGACCGACGTGAAGAACCCAGAAGACCTGGATTTCGCCAGTGGATGATCTATGTTTGATGTCACACAAAATCGAAGACTTACAAGCAAAAACCGACAAACTGGTCGAAGAAGCAGCCGGTGAAGACAGGACTCCAGGTGAACATAGACAAGACAGAGGTTATGAAAATAACCAGCTAACCAACCAACAACAACAACAGCAACATCCGGCGCCAATCACCATCAACGGGAGGGATTCGAAAGAGCTTATTTCATTCACTCACTTATCTAGCATTGAGCATTGTCTCAACTACAGGTAGTCGGAACGGATGAGGATGTCAAATCGAGCGAGAATCTGGAAGGCGAGCGAGAAACAAAGTCATCAACCTGAAACCAATCTAATCTGGAAATCTTCGTCACTCAGAATTAACAACAAAATTCGGATTTTTAATACAAGCCCGGTCAAGTCAGTCAGTTCTTCCATACGGATCAGAAACTTGGCGGGCAGGCGGGTCACAAAGAATATTTCCAACAGCCTGTTGCAAACCTTCATCAACCAACAACTATCTTCGCTGGATCTATACTGAAGTTCGGATGGCCGGGTCGGAAAAATCACCAACAAGAAACTATGGGCACAAACAAACAAAACGAGAAGAAACCAATCGCCAAGCAACAAATATGCAGCAGAAATTGGAGATGGATTGGACAATTGCTGAGGAGACCGCTGAGTGACGTCGTGCGCCAGGCCCTCAAGTGGAACCAGGCCGAAAGGGAAGAGGCGAGTGGAACGTCAGTGGAAGGGTGACATGGAGGAGAAAGAGGAGTTGAAAAAGTATGGACTAACATGGATGTAGGGGAAAAGTAGAGCAAAAGACAGAAGCAAGTGGAGACGTGCAAATGAAGCCCTATGTTCCACTAGGAACTCAAGGGAGCAATAATAAAATAATAATGTTATTATAACATTCATTTTATTGTTATATTGGGGAATTAACTTCAAGCTTTATTTATTTTAAATAAATAAATAAATAAATTTATTCTCATGATACATTACATGAGGGACGCCAGTTTACAGGCATCATCAAATTGTTACAGAAATAGGACCATATTATTTAGTCACAATTTACAGTCGATAGCAAAATATGTTTAACATGTACACTGGAGATTATACATACACTTGATAAATGTTAATCCCAATAGTATAAAACATCCTTTTCACTTATGTACAATCATT